CTAATACGAAATTTAATTTTTCAGTTTTTTGTTCTTGAATTGCACTGCTTTTTAAGTTTGCTTTTTTGTAAATAGGTAATTCAAGTAAAAATTAAAGATTAAGGGACAAATTTGTACGAGCTTTCACGGTTGTTGGGTACTCACGCGGTAATGCTCTGATAAAATAAAAATAGATTAAGATTTTTTTTCGCCATTTTTCAAAAAGAGAAAGTAGTTTTTTCAAGAAGTGTTTTGTAGAAAATTCTGAAAAAATTACTGCGGTACTAGTCAATATAATGTTAGTTTCCCAGACGTCAGAGTAACGCCAAAACAGACACTGCCTTGCATTTTAAAGCTTTGCCGAAAAATCAAATAAGGTAAGCTTAAAGAAAACTGGACTTGGCTCACCTTCACATTTGTTCTTCTAACTAGTATTTTACAAGTAACGCTAGATTCTGATTAAACTTAGGTAACGAATCGATGGTGGGTTTTATTCTAAATAATGATGAAGTGATGAGCAGTGGTACGCCTAACATTTTTTAATGAAAAACTTAATTTTTTTTATTTAGTTCTGGACACGCATGCTTTCAAATATTGAAAAGAATTGAGAAATTCTGTTTTTCTGGAACGAGTTTTCAGAGCGACTAACAGAAGAAGTTTGTAAACTTGAAAATCTGTGCAAAATTTGACAATTTTACATTGAATAAAAGTTTCATGTTTGAATTGAATTTTTCAATAAGGATATCATTTTTGCAAAACAGGTCGTTTGCTGACTCTAAGTGGGCGAAGGTAGAGACAAAGTTTTGATACTTACCAGAGATGAAACTGAATGTGAGCATAGAAGCTAACAGGGAAATGAACGTTAGGGTTCCAAACATTGTGTCTTATCAGTTTGACAGTTGAAGTATCATTTGAAATAGCGGTCGCGGAAAACTTGTAACTTCTGAAAAAATTTTTAATCAGAATATTTATAAATTTGTCGGCAAAAGAAATGAGATTGGAAGGTGATCTGACGGCAGTGCATTGGTCGTGGAATGCAAATTGCTCTTAGACTATCCTGTTGTCACAATCCTTTATAGGATTTTGGTTGCTTGGTTCAGATAGATGGGCGTTACAAAGAAGGGGGACTAAATGAGAATGTTGATGGACAGGATATATCTGGAAAGGTAAGAAAAAAGTGACAAGCTGTCAAGTTTATCAGCTTTATGAAGATTATGTGACCTTATTTAGTTGCTGCCCAGTTGCCTCTCTACGTAACCATTGTTGCTGAATACAGAATTTATTAAAAGAAAACATTAATTATTTTTTCTATATATTTTTTTGTTGTTTTACCAGAGGACAGTTTTTTAGACAATTTTAGCTTATGTGTAAAATTTTTTATGTGGATAAGTAGAAAGTTTTTTTTTTAAAGAAATAGAAACAAAGCATTGTTGTCATTTTCTGAAGTTGGTTCCTGCGGTAAAAGTATTTCCAGCTTTTTCTTCGTTTAAATATATATTCTGGCAGTATTATTCTTGATGAAAATTGTCGTCTGGAACTATTACATTATAAAAACAAGCATTTCAAAGTAAAAATTCTTTTTTGTTTCATCGACAGTTCAAAGGCAAGTAGTTGAGTGTATGAGTTTGAGCTGGCAGTAAAACGGGATCATCTAAGTTTACCTAATTTTGGGACAGATGACGAAAATTTGGTATTTTGCAGTTAAGATGATAAGTGGAGAACAAAGGAGAATAGAAGATAAACATTTTCTACGGTTGTAAATCATTTGAGAATAATGCGGTTAAAATTTTTTCTAGTTTTGCTGTAGACACAGTCTTTTGATTGTTTTGATGAATTATAACCAACCAAATATAATATGCTTCGTTTTTTTTTTTTTCTTAATACTTCTTTTTCTTAATACTTCTTTTTTTTCTTCTTTACTGGATAAAGCTGGATGAAATATTAATGAGAATTTTAAGCTTTAGTTGCTATACAGGTTTTTTGGTTGTCAGATAATGGAAATAAAATAAGAGGATTTTATTTATTATTGCTATCAAATATGAATATAGGTATTTGACAGAAAATTTGGGTCAAATAAATCAAAAAAAAAAAAAAAAAAAAAA